GGGGAAACCATCTTAGGGAGTTAGCAAAATATTTTGGAAATCACTCCTTTTGGGGATCCCAAAAAAGTCAAGGGGGAATTTAACAGAAGGGTATCCTGGGGTGGGGGGCTGGGGGGGGGCGGGATCGCAGGCACCATTCTGAGAATGAAGCCAGCATTTCAGAGGGAGGCAAAACTCACTGTTCTTTTGTCTTCTTCTCCAACATTAACTGATCTTCTTATTTCTCTAGAATATCTTTGCTTGCTTCTAATAAACCAGAATTTCAGGTTTTTTAGGACAGAGGTCTCCAAACTTGGCAACTTACGGACTTCAACTCCCAGAATTCTGCATGCTGGCTGGGGAATTCTGGGAGTTGAAGTCCTCAAGTCTTAAAGTTTGGTGGCTTCAGTTCTAGAACATTAAATATGGCAGCCACCTGTGAGATGAGACGAATCCGAGCCACCAAAACCTGGGAGATATTTACAGAGAATATTCTTTCAGGGAATATTCTATTATAGTAATTATTTGAAAAGTTATTGGCCACCCAACTCTAGTGATGCTCAGTGGAAGAGTTCAAGGGTCCTAGGGCAGAACATGGCTGCATGCATTGCAACTAAGAAAGGTGTGATTGCTACCAAAAACAGCGACCACACTGAGTCCAGGAGTCCAGAAAACCTAGTAGAATTTATTTTTGTGGTCCTGTTGTCTTGCATTTCTCCAAACTCATTGAGAATCAGTTACAGTGGGGACGTGGAGAAGGGCAGCATCACAGCCCCACAACCCAAGTGTGTTCGACAGTGCAAAGAGGGGAAGAGATGGCACTCCACATATTCGTAATAAACAGCTTGAACTGAATCACGACCATCCATGAGAGTGGTTGGTTACAGGAAGGGAGGTGGACTAAACATTACGAGTTCACCCACAGAGTTAGAATCAGTGCATCAAATTGGACTTAAGAAATATGAGGGCGATATTATGTTCCCTCCATATCCTTACATAGGAAAATCTACAGCTGTCTCATCCAGCCGGCCACTTTCTAGAAAAATGAGTTTGAGAAACTTGTCACGTAGATTTACCCAATATTTACATTTTTTCACGCATTTGCAAAAACCACCACATATAATAAAACGAACCTGGATTTTGACCACATTTCAAACACTTATTAGAAATCCCTTTATACATTTTCACTAGTCTATTTGGGGTCAGGTACCAACAATACATCATTTTATAAAAGTTTTCTCTCGAGCTATAACTTAATGTAAACTTTAGCCCATTCGTCCATGCGTTCTCCCGTTGATTCAGCATTATATTATACCCAAGGAATTTTGCACGTTTTACTATACACTCTTTAACATATTCATCTGTTGGCTTCATCTTGAGTAGCATGTTATGTGCTTTAGAAATCAAGGGCTCAACTCCAGGACTTAAATGAATGTCCCATTCAGATTTAGTTCTGATTTAGAGCTGTATTAGCAAAAGTAATAGCACTTAGATTGTACATATCGCTTTACAGTGCTTTATAGCCCTCTCTGAGTGGTTTACAGAGTTGGCATATCACCCCCAACAATCTGGGTCCTCATTTTGCCCACCTCGGAAGGGTGGAAGGCTGAGTCAACCTTGAGCCTGGTGAGATTCAAACTGCAGGCAGGCAGGCAGCAGGCAGTAGAAATAGCCTGCAGTACTGCACTCTAACCACTGCGCCACCGTGGCTCATTACAAACCCAGATCCCTGAACTTCGTCTCAATGGTGATGCCAAAACCCTTGGAAAGCTATTGTCTGCACTGATTGTCTACAGCAAGGGGATCCCTACTACACTTACCAAAGAGGGAAAGCACAATCATCAAAGGCTGTTGGTCCTTCCCACCCTACCTTGACACGGCTGACGGCCTCCTGGGCTTGCATCATCCGGATGTTTTTGGATGGGTTGCGTTCGGAGAGCAACTGGGTAGAACCCAAGTAATTTGCTGCGAAGATGATGCCATCAATGAGGTCCTCGGGCTCGCAAGGGCCTGGAACTAAAAACAGAGAAGAGGCCATTACGTCTGAAGCAGAAGCATCCAATGAGGAAGAATGAGCTACAAGGGAGTCTTGGTGGCGCAGTGGTTAGAGTGCAGCATTGCAGGCAAACTCTGCCCACTGCCCGGAGTTCGATCCTGACAGGCTCAAGGTTGACTCAGCCTTCCATCCTTCTGAGGTCAATAAAACAAGGACCCAGATTGTTGGCGGTAAATGTGGTGACTCTGTAAACCGCTTAGAGAGGGGCTGGAAAACACTATGAAGTGGTATATAAATCTAGCTGCTACTGCTAATGGCTACAAATCCTATACCCTCTTCTCTTAATAGACATTAATGAATTAATAATAATTAATTCATGGACATTTTGTACCTTTGTTCTGGATAATAAATACCACGTCACTTTTTTTTTGTTTTATTAAAAATTATCAGTGCAAAAAATAGCACAAATTATCAAGTTTCATCTTACTCAAGTTTTGTTCTTGCTTATTTCCATTAAATCTGTGGCTGTAAGACCCCGAGCCTCAATTACGAAGAGATCCTTGAGACAGTCATGAAATGGAGAACGTGCAATCTTGGGATGGCTTGGAGCTTGATTTTTATTTTATGTTTTTTTCCACACTGGCAGATCTTGCCATCATCCCTCAATCTAAGACCGTGTACAAGGCAAGGAAATTTCTTCCCTTCAACAATGCAACCGTAGACACAGGGAGGCATGCTGAAGGAGCAGCCAAACACTGTCCTCATAAGGAGAAAAATAAAATAAAACCACAGGGGAAGAGACATGGTAAATGAAGAGACCGATTCCAGCTGGCTGTGCGAATGGGTTCCCGAAAGTACATATTTTCCCCTCTCTTAAACTCACAACAAGCTCAGGGCTTGTTCCTATGCGAGGCACACGCTTTCCCCCAAGGAGAAGTAACAGCGCAGGAAATTCCCCCGTTGCTTAGCTGGTTATTGTTCCTGTTAATTTTAAGCATGTCAAGATTAGAAAAAGAGGAAATATAGTATGTGCTAGATTTTAAAGTAACATGATTGCACTTGTATACTGTTGCGTTTTTAATTCTAGTGTAAAAG